CCGGGCTGGGGATTCGAACCCGCCACCTTAGGTGTACGTGGCTGGTGCCTTAGCCGGTTGAGCTATAGGCGCCGAGCCAGTTTCTATTCTTCTTAACATGCCTCATGTTCTTTTTCTAAAATATTTATTTATTTATGAGATGAGATGAGATCTCCTTTTGGTGCACAGGCTACAGTGTAGTGGCATAATCATGGTTTACTGCCACCTTTAACTTCTGGGCTCAAGTGATGCTTAAAAAGAAAAAAACCATTTTCATATTTTATTTTTAAATTTTGCTTGATTCCTCATTCTATTCAAGTCTTTGTTCATCTGTCCTCAGAAAGGTATTCTTTTTTTTTTGAGAGAGAGAGCCTCAAGCTATCCCCCTGGGTAGACTGCTGTGGCATCACAGCTCACAGCTAATTCCAACTCCTGAGCTCAAGCGAGTCTCCTGCCTCAGCCTCCCAAGTAGCTGGGACCACAGGCACCGGCCACAACGCCTGGCTATATTTTTTGGTTGCAGCCATCACTGTTATTTGCCGGGCCTGGGCTGGATTCGAACCTGCCACCTTAGGTGTATGTGGCTGGCTGGCACCTTAGCCACTTGAGGCACAGGCGGTGAGCCTGAAAGGTATTCTTGATCAGAAATATAAAGTAGCTCCCTCTCCTCCCCTCTCTCCTAGTTCCTTTTAACCTACTCTATTTTTCTCCATACCATTTATCATCACTTACTTTTCTGCTGGTGCTTATTAAATATCTATGCCCTCCAGCATTCATGTAAGCTCTGAGAGGGAAAATTTTGTTTTTATTCACTGCTGTATCTTCAGTGCATGAACAATATCTACTTAGTCAAAATTTGTGGAATAAATAAATCAAGTTTTTGATAAACAACTGTCTTTAATAATAATATAAAAAATATTTTAAAACTTCCATGGCACACTTAAATTATGTTGATCAAAAAAAAGAGTAACATGGCTCGGCGCCTGTAGTTCAGAGGTTAGGGCACCAGCTACATATATCAGGGCTGGTGGGTTTAAACCTGGCCTGGGCCTGCTAAACAATGACAACTACAACAAAAACATAGCCAGGTGCTGTGGCAGGCACCTGTTGTCCCACCTACTTGGGAAGCTGAGGCAAGAGAATCGCTTAAACCCAAGAGTTTGAGGTTGCTGTGAGCTGTGACACCACACACTCTACTGAGGGTGATGTAATCAGACTCTGTCTCAAAAAAAAAAAAAAAAATTTTTTTTTGTGAAAATTGTGCTTTGAATTTCTTTTGAAAATAATGTAATTAATGATCTTTAAAAATTTTCACAGCACACCTAAGATCTTCTTGGCACACCAGTGAGCTGTGGCATATCGGTTAAAAATCACTGCTCTAAATGCTTCACATGTATTACCTCGTCTAAACCCAAACAACCCTGTGAGTTAGTAATCATAATACCTATTTTACTGATGCGCAAACTAGATTCAGAGAGATTATGTAACTTGGCCAAGGTCATACAGCTACAAAGTATATGAAAAGGATTAACAATTTGGCCAAATACTTTCTGTACTAATAAAATTAAACTCATCTGTTCCTGTTCACACTTAAAAACTTTTGATTATGAGACTAATTAAACAAAACCTCTTACTAACCCACTACCACAATCACCACAATCGCTGACTGAGTTTTTAGTACACACATACTAAAAATTTGGCTCCTGCACTCAGTATTTTACATGTAATATCAAACTTGTTAACTCTCACAACAACCTTGTAAAGTAGGGATTACCACCTTTCCTGTATGAACAGAGGAAACTGGGGCGGAATGAAGGTGGGAGAAAAGGAAAGAGAAAACTGAAGCTTAGGGAGATCAGTTAGATGCATAAAGTCTAATTAGACTGGAAATTCAATTTTAAGTTTGGATCTAAGGCCTGTATTTTTCATTACTAGGTTTACAGACTTGCAGTAAAACTTTACGCTTCAAGAGGACAGATAAGCATATTCATCTAAAGAAAATAAATACACTCCATACGTCCATTTCAGATGGATACTCTTCAGGTTTGTCCATGAATACTGCAGAGACTGGAACAGATGTGGTTTTGGACATCATCAATTTTAATGGAACTTCATGGAAGATTTGATTTCTTTCTCTCATTGTCATTTTCTTTTGGGGAAGTGGTGAATTAATATATATTATTTTAATTGGTTTTGAACCTGAAAAAGAAACAGAAGGAAGGGGGTGTTTAGCATCTAATAGTTAAACACAGTTTTATGACACAGGCTCGCTAAAGACAAGGACATAGGGCACCAGTGGCACGTGACCCAGGTATTTGCCACCGCTGGACTAGAAGACTTTAAAGTCCCTTAGAGAGCTAAGGGAAAGAGGATCTAACTGGCAGGAGAAACATGTTGTCTTTCTAACAATGTTTAAAAAGGATCTTCTGGTTTTTACTGTTATACTTTTACTGTCCTTATTACTTAGTTCCTATGCAAACTTGCAAAAAGAGATGAAATTTTTACCACTGAGAACATATTTAACTATAATTTCTAGTTTTGCTTCCTTAGACAGTCTTTACTTAGTGCATTTATGTTGTAATTTATATATAATATGACTTCTAAGATATATGAAAAAATATATATACCATTAAAGTTGGAGGAATAACTTTTTTGTATATGCAAATATTAATTTCATTGTCAAAAGAGAGACTACCCCACTGTTTAGAATTATAAACAGACTGTAATTCTGAATTCCAATAACAGATGAGCAAAGATGTCCTGGAAACTCACCCCACTGAGGCTGTCTAGTCAAGTACTGCATTTCTTTCATTTCAGGGAAAGACTGCAGAACCTCTCCATTCCACAGACTTTTGGCTACTCTGCAGAGTAGCTGCTTCTCTACTTTTACCTCTCAACATGACTTTAGGTACCACAGACCTACTAATTCAAAGTATCAGTTTTATAGAGCTTTACACGTTAATAAGTTCTACTGAACGTCAATGTAAAATTTATATCCTCCTTAAGGCAAGACTTAGATTTCTGTTTCTGGTAAGTGACCACCTTAAATAGCTGAAATGGGACTGTTCCAACCCTCTTTGGAGAGCCTTACTTGACATAGCAAATCACAAACCTGCAACAGGTATCATTTGAACACACACTGGAATTTCCCACTGTTCCTTGTAGTCTGGTCCATGATTATTTAATAAGGTAAATAACGATTGACTAGTTAGAGCTATATGAGGGTGGTATCTTGAAACAAGCTTCTCGGCATTTGGATCTTTACTAATATCCTGAAAAACAACATAGAACCTGTTACTTGTTTACACTTATCAAAAAATGTTTTTGATGAAGTAATGAAAAGAATGGAGAGTGTCAGAAAGGGCAATTCACAATAACCAGGTTGTATGTATTTTGTGAGATATGAAGAATTATTTAGGAAGCTCCAAAACCACCGTGGTACTCACAAATTCCATAACTTCAGCTGTTTTTTCTTGTGTTTCAATGGTAGATACATCATCTTTTGAGAGCTGCAACTTTGCAGGCATTGAAGGAAATACTGTTTTCACATATTTTACACTGCCCTACAGTAAAAAAAAAGAATCATTTTATTTAAAAAACTCTCATTTTTTTCTGAAAAAGTATCTTTCATAATATAAAATTCTTAATTGAAACTTATCACTCTACTAAATGCAAACGCCAAGTTTAGAAGCCAAGATACTTGAGTTTTTGCTTGACATCACCCATGTTTTGTTTTGTGTTTCTTACAAAAAGGGTTTCAAGAATATTCCTTGACATTTTACATTCCTTTTTTTAAGCTCCACATTCTGGTAGATGCCATTTTCAATTCTATCCTCTCCTTTCATGAAGTACAAATCATAACAGGATATAGTAGAAACTCTAAAATAGCTTCCATACGTACTAATTTTCAGTATGTTTGTGAATAAAATCCTTTAAAAGAAAAAGAGTTTCTTGCCTATATTCAGGGGAAGAAGTTAAAAAAAAAAAATCAAGAAACAAAGTTGATAGTGGCATTTTCTAAAATATCAAGTATTTGCATAACATAAAAAGAAAGGAACATGGATTTATACTACATATCTAAAATGTTATCTTGTTATTCCTCAAAATTTAAACACAAAATAGTGCATACATGAAATACAGATGATGTTTTAGACAAAAAAAAGCTTATACTTTTTACTTTTCATACGATAAACCTTACCAATGCAAGAAGAGTTTTTTCTAACTTTAACCCCATCTCTATTCTGAATGGGAAGAATCCCATTAAGCTGGTGACTTCATGAAGAGTATAAAATTCTGGATACTTTTTTACTTGTTCAATGCGAGCTTTTAAAATTTGCTAAAAAATAAAAATTACGAAACATTCATTTGTACTGTAGTTCTTTAATAATGCAAGTAAAATTTAGTTCTATGTGACTACATAATTATTTAATGCAAAAATTAGCCTCATTTCATCAGTCAAGCTTCTAATAATACAACGTACATTTCTTACTTATTCTATTTTTATAACAATTTCTTTTTAACTTAATATTGGTATCTAATAGTATTGAATATTATTGATATTTAATATTATTAATACTAACATTAATATTAAAATTGGTAATCTCATTAAAAATTTAAAATTAAATAGAGAAAATGCTTCGTATCATATTCTCTATGCTACTTAAGAAACCATTGAAGAAAGTCATATGAAAATTTCAATGCATTTTACTGCACAAAAGCTGGTATATGAATGATTAGAAATAAATAAGTTTAATACTCAAACTTAATACTCAAAAGGATTCCCAAGCACAACGAATTAAGGAGGTACTTATCTTACAGGTCTTTCTAATGTACAATCTACGAAATAAAGATTTTGTGACTAATTCAAATGATGGAGTACTTAGTATTTTTTTTTCTCTCCAAACTGTTTTCAAAATATTAGTGATTTATCAGGAAATGTAATCAGTAAGGAAACAAAATTCACAGCTTTAACCAAGAGAAGTATGTGCTGCTTGTGATAATACGTGTTATAAATAACTCAGAGATACCTAGCTGTTTGGGGGGTGGGGGGAGAAGGGTGTTCACAATTTTTTGAGACAGAGTCTCAAGCTGTCACCCTGGGTACAGTGCTGTGGCATTACAGTCCACAGCAACCTCCAACTCCTGGGCTTAAACGAATCTCTGGCCTTAGCCTCCCAAGTAGCTGGGACTACAGGTGCCTGCCACAACGCCCGGCTATTTCTTGGTTGTAATCGTTATTGGTGTTTGGCAGGCTGGGGCTGGGTTGGAAACGGCCAGCCCTGGTGTATGTGGCTGGTGTGTTAGCCACTTGAGCTACAGGTGCCGAGCCTTTTCTCTTTCTTTATTCTTTTTGTAGTTTTTGACTGGAGGCTGGGCTTGAACCCCCCACCTCCGGTATATGGGACAGGTGTCCTACTCCTTTAAGCAACAGGCACCGCCTGCCTTTTCTTTTCTTTTCTTTTTTTTGAAACAGAGTCTCATTTTGTCTTCCTTGGTAGAGTGCTGTTGTGTCACAGCTCACAGCAACCTCAAACTTTTGGGCTCAAGCGATCCCCTTGCCTCAGCCTCCTGAGTAGCTAGGACTATAGGCATCTATCACAACCCTGGCTATTTTTTGGAGATGGTGTCTCGCTCTTGCTCAGGCTGGTCTAGAACTCATGAGCTCAAGCAATCTACCTGCCTCAGCCTCCCAGAGTACTGGGATTACAGTCATGAGCCACTGTGCTGGGCTCTTAGATGTTGTAATTGAAATACACATATATTATCTTATAAGATACATATTGTTTGTCATCAAACCCTATTCAGTCATTTAGAATATATTTTAGATCACAGAAGCTCTTAGCAATAGGAATATCTTTATCAGATGTCTATATCCCTCTCCTTCAGACATCTGTAAAATGTGTCACAAATCAGTAGGTTTATTTTGTAAATCTTTTCATCAGTGATTTCATAACCTCATATTCCCTGATCTTGATATTTAATTCAGGATATCATTTGCAATGAAGGCAGATGTGGATTAATGTGGGAGGTTGTTTTTAAAAACCTTAGTCACCTTAAAACCACTATCTGCATAATATACTTACTCCTTATTTGTATTTAGTTCTTAGAGTCGTCATTACAAGAATTTGAACATACAAAGGAAAGCAATACATAAGAACTATGTGACACACAGGCCATTCTGGTTAGATATTTATTGACACATCATGCTTGGTAAAACTGTGCTGGATGTTACAGTACCTGTAATTGAATTTCACTTAATTTAGTCATTATAGCAAGAGAAAAGAGTCAATGGAAAATCTAAGACTTTTATACTGGTACTCTCTATTTAATACTCAAAATATCTTGAGAGTTAAATACACAAGAAGCACATTCACGTATATAATACAGATCTATCATTACAAAGAAAAATGGTAGAGAAGAGCAAATAAAAATTCTGTTCAATTATCTTTAGTAGTCCTAGCGCCTGGTAGTATTAACAACGCTGTTCAAGGCTGCTGTGAGCACAATGTAGGATAAAGCAAATGAGACACACGAGAAACTTCTGCCTTTACATACAGAGGGTGCCAAAAAGATGCATAATCATTTTAAGCAAGGGAAAAAAACTGTATTAAAATTGTAATACTCAAGTTAGATCTGACTTTGGCAATTACAAGAGATAAAAGATATAACATGTAAGATAACAAACATTATTGGTATGCATTGAGTATTATAATTTTAATACAGTTTTTTCCTTTCTTAAAATGTATATACATTTTTTTGGCACCATCTATGTAATTTCCTAGCTCTATCCACTGAAATATTTTCAGAAACAATGACCAACCTGGGAGCAATGAACATTCGTAGGTCCCAGATTGTCGTCTTGAAATATCATTTCCCACTAAAACAAACAAGGTCTCTAGAAACTGACTGGTTCTAAGGTCAGGACAGAGAATGCAGGGAAGAAAGCTCACAGACCACAAGAGTGACTCAGCAGAACTCAGAAGCAAGGATGAAGAGACTCACTGACCGAAGTCGGCATCAGTAGGCATCACCTGAGGCTTACAAAGGACCAAAGGGACTAAAATCCATATAAGTTTAACTGTATGATTTAATAATTTGTTTTTGTTTTTTTTTTTTAGAGACAGAGGCTCACTTTGTCGCCCTCAGTAGAGTGCTATGATGTCACAGCTCATAGCAACCTCCAGCTCTTGGGCTTAAGCGATTCTCTTGCTTCAGCCTCCCGAGTAGCTGGGACTACAGGCGCCCGCCACAATGCCAGGCTATTTTTTTGTTGCTGTTGCAGTTTGGCCGGGGCCAGGTTCGAACCCGCCACCTTTGGTATATGGGGCTGGCGCCCTACTCACTGAGCCACAGGCACTGCCAATATTTTTTAAAAAAGAAAACTTTGATCATCATCAGAGAACAAAAAGGAATCAATTTTTTTCAAAAGTGGTATATAAAGACAGAGAATCTGCCATTTATTTTACTACATGGTGAGTTTCATGAATTGAGAAACCAAAGAGTAGATGAGGGAAAGCATGTCTTTATTCCAACTAATCATGATGCAATCAGAACATCACAGTTTTGTAAACCCCAGAGAATGAACCCATTCAGGCATGGAGCATCAATAGCTCAACTGGCTGGGGAGATCGCAGTCGAAGGATACAAAATTTTAGTTAAGTAGGAGGAAAAATTTAAGAGACTTATTGTATAACACAGTGACTATAGTTAAGAACAATGTTATTATAGTCTTGAAAATTGCTAAACTAGATTTTAAGTGTTCTCATCACAAAAAAAGAGCATGTGAAGTAATGCATGCTAATTACTTCAATTTAACCTTCTAACAATGCATATATATCTTAAAATGTGTTATACGTGATAAATATAATTTTTACTTGTTAACTTAAAAAACAATAAAGTTGTAAGAAGAAAAACTTTGCAACATTTATAACCCATCAGGTTTTGTATTTGGAATAACACAAAGAACTCTTACTTATCAATAAGAAAAAGAAACAATCCAGTAGAAAAAGGGTAAGACTTGAAGTCATTTTGCCAAGAAAAAAATAAATGCGCACATGATAACATGCTCCATACTGCGTACATACAGCATCAGATCCTCTAGAATGGTTAAAACTAAAAGGACTGCAAATATCAGTTATTACTGAGGATTTTGAGCACTTACATATTGCTGGGTGGAATATAAATTGGTGTAACCACTTTGGAAAATAGTGTGCATTATTTATTCAAGTTGAAGATATGCATATCCTCTGACCTAACAATTCTATTCCCAGCTATACAGTCCTCGATATATGATGGTTTGACTTGCAGTTTTTCTACTTTATGATGGTGTAAAATCATTGCAATTTTGTCACAATGCACAGTATTCAATAAATTATAAGAAATTCAACACTTTATTGTAAAGTAGGATTTGTTCTAGATGGTTTTGCCCAACTGCAGCCTAATGGTAAATTTTCTGAGCACATTTAAGGTAAACTAGGCTAAGCTATGATGTTCGATTGGTTAGATTAATTAAATGCATTTTCAACTTATAATGGACATTTGGGGCTATAACCCCATCGTAAATCAAGGAGCATCATACATATCCAACTGAAATGTATATACATGTGCAGCAACAGATATGGATGGCCATTTTCCTAAGAGTAATGCTCAGGATAGCTCCAAAGTGGAAACAATCCAAACTTTGATCAAAAGAATTGTGATTCATATAACAGAATGGACAGAAATGAAAATGAATGAACTATAACTATATACGACTTACGAATCTCACAAACACAATACTGAGTGCAAGAAGGAAGGCACAAAAGTCTTCTGTGCAAATAAAATTCAACATCAGGCAAAAGAGAGCTAGAAGAATTAAAAAATAAATACAGAAATTATGACCACCAAAGGTGATTTATTAAAGGAGGGAACGGCTTGACACCTGTAGCTCAAGTGGCTAAGGCACCAGCCCCATACACCAGAGCTGGTGGGTTCGAATCCAGCCCAGGCCTGCCAAACGACAATGACAACTGCAACCAAAAAATAGCTGGGCTTTGTGGCAGGCACCTGTCGTCCCAGCTACTTGGGAGGCTGAGGCAAGAGAATCTCTTAAGCCCAAGATCTTGAGGTTGCTGCAAGCTGTGACGCCATCACACTTTACCCAGGGCAACATAAAACTAAAACAAATCTAGGAAAGTATCAGGGATTCTTTGGGGTAGGAATGTAAATATAACTTACAGAAAATGCACTGCCATGTCAATATGGACAAAAATCAAGATCTAACCCCAGACAAAGGATCCAAGAGAGACTTCCAACTTGGGTCTTCCCTGTTGCCAGAAGCTCTGGTGCTTTCTTACTGCTTCTGTATTCCTTTCTGTCTAATCAAATCCTATCTTACCATTGGGAAAAACAAAACAAAACAAGATCTAATGTTTATCATTGGCTACAAATAGTGTACTTTGCTAATAAGCATTTTTATATTCACTCAACAAATATTTACACTGAGTCCCTCTACTGTGTGCCACGCACTCTTCTAGTTATTAGAAATACAATGGCCCTTACATTTAGGAGTGTGGAGAAAGATAACAAATGAAAATGAAACAAAAATAAAAACACTGAGGGTGACATTTCCTATAGGTTACCAGAAGATCCTTATTAACAGGTGACATCTCAACAGACAGACCTAAAAGGATCAAGGAACTAATCCATGCAGATATGCAAAGAACAACTTCACAGAAAAATAGGAATAGTAAATGCCAAAGGCCTCAAAGCTTGACCACATCTGAAATGCTCAAGGAACACACAAAGGCCAGTAGGTAGGTAGAATAAGTGAGAGGGTGATTGGTAGAAGATGAAGCCAGGAGATGGAGGAGAGGGAGAGATCATGTAGACCATTGTAGAACTCTGTAAAGACTTGGAGACCTGAGGCTGTTATAAACCAGTAAGATGAGGGGATAGCTTTATGTTTTAAAAACATCATTCTGTTACTTCAAAGGCACTGTTAGAATAGCAGCCAGGTGCCAGGTCCTACTCCACATAGACAAATATGACATTACATTTGAGTATATTATATTTAGATTCAGAGTTTAAAAATTAAATTCTTCCTTTTATTTAGAAGAATCACTGTTCTGCTTCTTATTATCTTAGAAAATATGTTTAAAACAGTAATAGACTCTTGGCTGCCTCCCAATTTATAGTGGCTAGTTTTTTTTCAATTGTCATAAAATACACATAAAACTTACTATCCTCAGCCTTCATTAAGTGTAAAGCTCAGCGGTGTTAAATATACTTACGTTGTTTATCGTCACCAATCTTAAAGGCTTAAGAAAATTTGTATTTGTAGATGAACCCCACTATGAAAATATATACTAATAGCTACTGTTTAAGTAGAATACTTTAAATTTTTCCTAGGTTTACTGAATGATGATAAGATACGAGGTAGGGTGATTAATAGGCTTTCCTGACAAATATGAAACTTAACAGTTGATATTTAGCATTTGGTGACCGGTTACCATGAAGTTAATGAACACAAGTTCATGTTACTCAGTTTCTAAAGGATCACTCAAAGTTCTAAGGTACAAACCAACTTCTTAAACATTATTCTCTCACAAGGGAAATCAGTGGATCAGATCAAACTATCCATGTGAATAAATGTAATGTTAAAATACAGTAGTTGGATCATTAAAAACCACAAACACAAACAGATGCTATAGTACCCAGCTTTGAGATGTGTAATACGTGAGGAGTAAAAAGACCCATATAGAACTTGGTCTCTAACTGATATCATCAGTTCCAGATGCTTTTGGCAGGATCATCACACATTCTAGAATGCTACTCTTGCTTATCACTTGGCAGTTTAAGTAAAATATGATTTTTTTTTACCTCTGTGAAGAGACGGGCATCATCAGAAAGCATATTATAATCCTGTGGACATTTCTTTGCAGAATTCTGTAAAAACTTTAGGAACTCAGTAACCTCTTCATTCACATGTTTTTTCATATCCTGATTTTTAAAAAAGTAGACATGTCTTGGAATAAAAAGTTTCAATAAGAAATAATTACTTCTTAGTCATTGCTCTAATAATTTGGAATTAAAGAATAATTAAAGTATCAAACCCAAAGCAGAAACTACAAAGAAAATGTTAATAGAAATTATTATATAATAATAAACTTCTATGATAAAAAAACTCCACAGAAATAGAAACACATGACAAATACTACAATATATACTTAGTGATTAAGAAATTCATTCTATAAAATGCTGCCAACATAAAAAAAAGATAAACACACTAAATAACCCAATGGAAAAATGAGTTAATAGGCTCAGGGCCCGTAGCTCAGTGAGTAGGGTACCTGCCACATACACCGAGGCTGGTGGGATCAAGCCTGGCCCTATCCTGCTAAACAATGACAACTACAACCAAAAAAGCATTGTGGTGGGTCCCTGTAATCCCAGATACTTGGGAGACTAAGGCAAGAGAATCACATAAGCCCAAGAGTTTGAGGTGGCTGTGAGCTGTGATGCCACAGCCTTCTACGGAGGGTGACATAGTGAGACTCTGTCTCAAAAAAAAAAAAAAGAAAAGAAAAGAAAAAGAAAAAAAGAAAAATAAACTAACTATGAATGAAAAAAGAAAGATGGCTTATAAACATATGGAAAATGTTATTTTCATTAGTAATCAATGTACATTAATTAATTAATGTATAAAGTCAGTGATCATTTTCTACATATAGAATTAGTGGCAAAAAAGGTAATATCCAATTTAGTAAAGGTACTTTTTTTAAAGTGTCTTAAAATAGTGGTACAGGTTGGTTTAACCTTTTTGCAGAATAATTTACCCATGTAAATTACTGGAGATCAAAGCATTACAAACAGGCATATCTTTGATTTAGTAATTTTATGCATTTATTTTAGGGGAACAATCATAGATATGGACAAAGATTTTGCTACAAGGATATCCAGCACAGTATCAGTTATACATATGTGACTGAGAATTTGGAAACCTCTTAATTGAAGTAATACTCAAGCAATAATTAAAACTTAGCACAACAAGCTACGTAAAGTTCTATTGCTTGTATTTAAGATGAAGTGGAGAGAGACATGCTCTGAAATACAGCAAAATGCCCCAACTATAATAGAACCAACAAAGGAATTAAAGCACCATTCTCTGCTAATTAAACTTAAATTTTCCATTTAAAAAAATACGACTACACCTAAAAACATAAATGCAAATTGTGAATAAAAATATTTCCTGACTAGTTCTTTACTGAAGCTAAAGGAGAGAATACATACCATGTACTGCAAGTAGTCGTTTTTATTTATCCCAGCAGCTTTAGAATTTGCAGGAATCTTTGCATATTTAACCAACAAGTCCACATAAGTCCTCTGCTCTCTCTGTGAGAAACGAGAGAAACGAGGATAAGGAACTCTTGGTTTTGGAAGAAGAACCATTCCAATTGTGGTTTTAACTTTTTCCTTTGCTTGAGTTGCTGAACTAACTGCCGGCTCATTTTCTACAGAACTTGCTGAGGCATTCAAATTTTCTCCTATACGTCTGGAAAAAAAAATATAATTTACAAATATGTGCTTTTCACATGAAGATTACTATCACGGAATTTCATGATTCTCAATCACCGGGAGAATATAGCATGATTAACAGAGTAAACTCTGGCTTATTATCTAACTCTGACACCTGCATTTTGATGGTTAGACATTTAGTGTAGATTAAGTATTCTGCAGGACGGGATCACACTGCAAACTTACCTTCAATTACCTGATGGGGAGGAAAAGGCATGCTTATTAGACTACTTATTCAATTTAGAAGCTTTTCCTGTTATTGAAGAGGGGGAAATCATTCTCACCAATTATATATGCAAGTATTTTGTGTTTACATTTTATTACAATGCTAATTGGTTTTTTGTAAAGTATGTCAGTTAATAAATGGAGCACAAAAGCCACTAAGAACAGGATATAAAGGAAACCACATACTTGAAGTTAACAAATTCACTGAGTTTCTAAATTTTCTGGTTTCTTTAAGAGCTAGAAAGAAAATTCCAAATTGTGTATCATACTTTATGGAAGCAGTAGTGATTTTAGAAGTTGTACAATCCTCTATCACTCTTGTACATGGCTGAGTCTATGGGAATATCTTTATACTTTTTATGGATACAAAAGCAAAGTCCTAGCATATCTATGAGGAAATGTACCAGAAGAGACAACAGTGAGTAGCCAGAGAGCCTATTACTCTATTTGTTTATAAAATGTGTGAAAGTTGTCTAAATAAAATGGAGTCACTAATATTAAAAAACCCTGACAACTAAAGCTGGGGAAGGCCATAAAGAAAGGGTTCTCATGTCTGTACCCCAGCAAAAAACACTTCTACTAGGACATCTGCCCAGCCAACTGCTTGTGTAACTATGGACTGGTGTCAACCTTGTCATGGATCTTTGTACCCAAGTAAAATTGCTTCAGAACTACTGTATATTCCTCCTAGCATTTTCCCTTAAAAACCTGTGCTTTCATTTACCTCCTCAAATACGCACAGTTTAATGGCATTTATATTCCCACTGCAATGATCTACTCCTATACAGAGCACATTTCCATTTTCTTTTCTCTTAGAGAGCCTGTTATCTAGCTTGACAAATGCTACCTCCAAATTTAAAACGTCACTTTACCATCCCAATTACAGTATATGAATATAAACGTCTTATCTTGTTCATAATCTGTCGCTACTCTTTTATCTGTCTCTATTCTTGCTATTCAGTTACTACAATCTACATTTTTAAGAAGAGAATGTAGAAGTCCACCAAAAACTACATTTTCTTGGCCTCTGCAAGGAAACTGTTCTTTTCATATGAAGGTTACTATCATGGCACCACTACAGTAACTGTTTTTATGACTTGGCTCCAAGTTATACACCAACGATCCACAGATGAAGAGAAATAATGAAGAAGATGATATCTCCTGATTCATTCGTCACCCCGCCACTCACTAATATTTATTGGGTGATTACCATGTGCCAGCCTCTATACAAGCTACTGGAGATATGACATTAAGCACAGTATGATCTCTGCCCTCGAGGACCTTATGATCAAAAGCATGAGACAAGTGAATGGAGAAGAAAGAAAATGATGTACAGCAACACAACGTGACTATCGAGATCTTAGGTTTCCAAACTGAATATACCAAATAGGTGACTGGGAAGAATCCTAAGGGCATCATGATCGGGGATTAAGAGGGAGAAAGAGAAGGAGGAAGAAATGTCCAGAGCAGTGGTTCTCGATCATGATAGTGTTAATTTCCTTAAGGCATTCTGGAAGCCTGTAGGTGCATCTAGGTTGTCACAAAAGAGAGGGGGGATGAAAGGTATTTAGACATGAGGGATACTAGATGCCTGTGATGTATAGCACTGCCCTACACAACTTGGCAGGCTTTCTCTGACATGCACCTAAGTCTAGTCTGTTGTTATTTATCCTAATAGTACATCTTACTCCTTTTTATTTTTCTTATGACTCTTTTATGGCATAGTTTATCTTACTTCTCTTAAATACAACTTTATTCATTTTAACTGGTTTATCTAATTACTTCATTATATCGTCTAGTATAGTGGTGTCTACATATTTACATATTAAGATAGAAATTATTTTCTTTTAGTTTCATATTTACATATGTAGGATTTTATACTCTTTTTAAAAGTTATGTCTGTGGTAAT